GGCAGTGCCACAGTGGCAGCAGCAGGGCCTAATGAAGTGTCTCAAAGTATCTGCTAATAGGTGAGAGACAGTGACAGAAAGGAGCAGCCGGACCAGGGGCAAGGGGAAGGGGAAGGGGAAGACGAGTAGGAGCCTGAACCCAAAACTTCACCTCACTTTTATGGTCAGCATTAAAAGGAAATCTTTTTTTGCTCCGTTTTTATGGCTTTAAAGCGAACAAAAAACCGGTAGACAAAATGCCAAAAGCTTGTTAGGAGGGAAAACGCTTGATTCGGTGGAAAGGCATTTACATTTTGACTGCCGCCGCACACCCCCTCCACAGCGGCAACATCGGCATCAGCAGCAGCATCATGCCACATCAATCAGCGGCGGTGGGCAACATTAAAATGGTAATTTTAAACCGCGAGTGTAGCCCCAGGGCCAAATGCGAGAACTCATCATGCCGACGTTTTAATGATTGGCCGCTGGCGGCCGCCTTCCGTGAGTCCGGCTTCCAGGCGCTCCATGCAAATGGTATCCTCTGGAAACTCTCTCGTAAATCAAGGCTGCAACACCTTAACCATCCACCAAATGATGGCCAAAAGGTGCTGCCTGGCTGCCTGGCTGCCCGACTGACTGCAGTCCCAAGTCGTAAAGTGTTTTGAGAAATGTCACCCGTGGGGCGTTTTTGTCAATCCCCCAAGAAAAGTGTTCAATCAACTGTCAGCATCATCCGTCCATGACAGGGAATACACTCTGGCTACTGGCTTCTGTCTTCCGATTGAATATATCTTTGTATCTGGCAGGAAGGCGCGAAAGGCAAGGGAAAACTTTACAAATATTTATGGAAATTTTAGCGTTGGAGCAATCCAGAGTGAACCCAAAGCCAAAGCTCTGTTAAATGTATTTACTTTGTAGTCGAATCGTAGTTGAAGCCCATCCATTGCCATCCGCTAACGAGTGCCTGGCCAATTAGTCATTCCATAACTCGGTGTAAATCAAGGACAATGCTTGGAGCCACTTGAGAAGCATTCAAAATCCGCTTAGCATCAGCTTTGGCCCAGCAAATCCCAGCAAATGAACCGCAAACGAAGCTGAAATAACAAGAGAGGGGGAGGGCCTCCTGTGCGTCCGCCCACGCCGCAAGCTGAAAGTTTCCCATCATCGGTGGGCGAAGCAGTAGCAAATTCTTTCTCAAGTGTCTCATATGACAGACCCCGGGACCGGGGACCCCCTAGACCTTCTCGAACCAGTTAGCCGCCACATTGAACTCGAGTTTGCATTGACGCCGAGCGGGGCTTCTGTCATAACAAAACACTTACGCGATGCACTCCCCCGTAACCGAATACTTTTGATGGAGAGTGCGAAGCAGTGGCTCATGTTGCCCCCCCCCCCCCCCCCCCCACCCCAGGGGGGATTTCTGATTTACTTTCAGAGCTCCTCCGCTGTCTGTCGGGGAACCAGAGAACTTTCGGGGGAACCTCCACAGATGGAGAGACACAAAAAAAAAAGAAATTTAACTGGCTCTGGGACCTGCCCGGCGTTCCCCAAACAATTTCTGGGCTTGGGCAATTATTTGTCTAAAATAATTGCCAATTGGTCGCTGAATTCCAGCCAACGAAAGCACACAATAGAGAGACAATCCAGACGAGACATCAAACAGTCACAGCCAGAGAAACGGAGAATCGGAGAAGGTGCTTAGAGGGCTTTCGGCTTTGATTTTGGCAGCTAAAGCAGCTAAAAGCGAGGGCCGCCATGCTCTTGTCTGCTTGTTAGTTGTCCAGCGACTTCCGTTTCCGCTTTCCGAACGAAAACCTGTTACTGTTGCAAATCCTTGGGGCTCGGACCGTGTCTGGCATTGAAATGAGAACAAAAGCCAATGGCAAAGTCAAAGTGAAAGCCAAATCGTGGCGCGAAATTGGCAGAAAAGCATAAAGCCCTGAAAAGGGGAGAATGGAGACAGACCGGAGGTGCAAAAGGAGACAGAGCGGAGGTGTTAAAGGAGACAGAGCGGAGGTGAGAGTGGAGACAGGCAAAAGGGAAAAGGCAAGTCCGAGGTAAATGGTGAAGAAAAAGGATTTCTCGGGTTCAGGCCATCATTGGTATTTTATTAATAGCCAGGAGAAAGGACAGGACTCAGACTTCCTTTCATATATCGCCACCAAAAAAAAGGAGGTAAGGAGGAGCTGCTGCCCCCTCTTCCCCTCACCCTGGATCAAACTTTTTGCTGTGTGGCTGCTTTTGGCGTTCATTTCGTGGTCTAGGTCTGGCTCTGGCTTTGACTTTGGCCCTTGTCTGGCGGCCCCCCCCCCGAAACAATAACCACAAAGCAATGAAATCGAAAAACGTGCTACACGCTACACGCTGCTCTCTCTCTCTCTCTCTCTCTCTCTCTCGTCCTGCTCCCTCCGTTGCCCATTTTTATTTGCCGTCTATCGACATTATTGACTCTGGCCCTCCCCCACTGCCACTCTGCCTCTCTCGCCAGCTGTGACCAGCAGCCGAGGAGCTCTCTGCTGGGAAAACATTTTAAGAATGAGAAGAAAAAAGGCTACAAAAAAATAATATTTCTCGCTTACGGGCCCTCCATTTCAACCCCTCCTCTGCTCGTCCCTCTGCTGTTTGCATTTCAACTTTCGTTTTCAATTTTCTAGGATTTCTCTGCTCTTGGGCTCTGGCGCTGGCCTTTTCATTGTGCCGCCCCCATAAACAGGGTGTAAAGTGCACCTGAACTGCAGACAATGGGGGCCCAGACGAGGTGGCAGGTGGTCTGTGGCGGGCCGAAAGGTATGTTTGGGGGGGGAGAGAACAAAACGGTTTCTGCTTAGCGGTTAATGAAAAACTTTGATTGACCTTTTTCCTTGAATTCAGGAGAAAAAATAATACACAAAAATGTATAGAATGCATTGCAGGTGTTTTGTGGATTCTTTCTCATGATTTAAGGCCGAAATATACACCCAGGGTACGGTTTTTGCACGACTTTTGGTATTACGATTTTAAAAAGTTATTTAAACATTTTTTAAACTGTAATTTGTTTCTAAATGTATTTCAAATTTTTTTAAAGTTGTTTTAAATTTGTTTTAAATATTTTTAACTTTTTTTATATTACAAAAAAATTTGTAATTATTTTTTAAATTTTTTAAACATTTTTAACATTTTTTTTAAATTTATTTTTTTATTTAAAATGTATCGGGAATTTGTATCAAATTTCTTGTGGTTTTGGTTTTTTTGGGTGATGAAAAATTATAGACCTGATTGGAAATAAATGTATTAAATATTTAAAGTAAGACGAATAAAAACTTCGAAGTAAATAAATATAGAATTAAAAATGAGCAAATATTTGTATATTTATTTAAGGAGTCTTACGATTTACGAAAACCGGAGAACGCAATTTTGCGATTTGACCGTAAATTTTGCCATGGCGGATAACTGCATAATAATACAGAATAATAATACTGCTTTGGACTCTCATTAAATTAGGGAAATTCATTAAGTTTTAAATTATTTGTCAATGCCGGGGCTTTCACTCGGCTTTCACTGTTTTGAATTGAATTGAAATACATTTAATCATGCATTTAGAAGCATTTCTTTCGAGTTTTAGTAATCGATATGTGGAGAGGTATGAACATATATCTGTTTCAGAGATATCCAATTAAATCACATAAATGCTAGTGTCATAGGCCAGCCAGAGCCTTGGAAACATTTTCAATTGCCACTAAGGATACTTATTTGTGTAATTAGAATAAATGATGATTAAAATCATTAAAAAGCTTGCCTCAAGCGCATCAATTTCCAGCATAATTCGATTGCCAACGATGGGTTTTAATCAAATTGCCAAGAGAGGGAGAGAGAGAGAAGGCAGCAGGCAGCAGGCAACAGGCGAGGAGCATTCATCTGTGAGTCCTTGAGACTGTCAGTCAGTCAAGCCAGCAGTGTGGCAGCAGTGCTGTGCTGCTCATCGATTACAGACAGCAGGCGGAGGGGCAGGGATGTGTATGCCTTCTCGGCGTCGGCTTAGTGCCTTCGAGTGTGGCAAACAAATTGACATTTAGCTGTGCGTGTAACAAGATCAAGCATACGCAACGTTGCCTCTGATTTGAAGAGAGAGAGACAGCGTGAATATGCTTCTCATTAACGTTGCATAGGGTTTTCCACCCGCCCCCACCCCCCACACTCCATGAATACAAATTTGCCAACATTTTCGAGAAACGGAAACCCTACTGACGGCCAAGCAAGCAACTGGCTTTTCCAACGTCATGGCATGCCATGGTACGGCTCCGACTCCGGCCACGGCTCCGGCTCCGGCTCTTTCTTGGGCAAGAAAAAGTGTGGTGTGGGGAGGGAGGAGTGTACACCACTCAACGGAATCTATAACAAGTCGCCTGACAGTTTGATGTGGCGATTAGTGCGTGTCCTGGCTGTGTCCTGCATGTGTTGCACGGTGGAAAAGTCTTGTGGCTGCAGGCACAAACCAGGGCGGGAACATTTAATATTCCAGCACTTATATAGCACTTTTGAGTACATTTTCACTGTAGATCTCAGCTGTTGAGTGAAGCCTGAACCCAGACCCAAACCCAGACCTAGTACAGTACCCTCCGAGTGTTAAGGCACTCATTCCACAGGTACAGTTACTGTCACGAGTCTTTGCAGCCCTGTGCTTATGCATGCGTGAATTTTTTGTTGTGTGCAACAGCATGTTGCACATGCAACCCGCACTGGGACTCTAGTTGAGTTGTCAGACCCGCTGACAGTGATGAAAACTTTGTTGACAGGCCAAAAGACGGGGTTTTGGACGACAGACAGACGTCGTGCTTCAGCGAGCAATCGAAAAACTTATCGTCTATCACTTCTTTGGGTGTGGAATGAGTGGCACATACTTATCCCTCCGCTGTAGCATCACTTTAAGGCTCTTTAAGGCCGACTAGCGCTACTCTCCTCCGGTCGGATGTGCATCACTCAGTCGCAGACAAGTCTAAGCTTTAGTCACACATTTGCTGACCCAGATTCGGTCTTTTTTTCAGAGCTATGATATAATTGGCATCTGCCAGACCAGACATCCCACTGGAGGAGGACAGCATAGCACAGGACAGGACAGGACAGGACAGGACACTTCTCTGATCTCCCATCCGCACGAAGGTGAGTTCCAATTACACAATTCCCTCGCAGCAGTGCTGCTCCAACACCTCTTCAACCTCATCAACTGGGACTCTGCGGAAATGCCGTATAAAACCAATTTGTTGCCTCGTTCCACCTGTTGGAGATGTTTTCCGGTGGGGCTCTGTCTGTGGGCAGATTTAAAGAAGTTTTCATCAAATTTCCTGACCAGGAAGCCATAGCACCAGGGAGGGGGAGGGGGACGGGGGACGGGGGCATGGGGACTGGAGGGAATTGGAGGGACTTTAATGCAAGTCGGAAATGCCCAAACGAAGAGTTCTCTGCTCTCTCGGCAAAAGTTCTTTCCATTTCCGTAAAAATGCAAAATCTGGCAAAAGAGAAAACTGAAGAGAGAAGAGAGGCAAAGAAGCGGAACTGAGAAAGGTAAGTGGGTCGCAGAGAGAGAGAGAGAGAAAAGTAAAAGTCCAAACACCAACAATGTGAAATCTTCTAAACCGCTTTCGGGCAATCCCCAAAAGCAGGCAGCAGTCAACAGTTTGCTCGCTCTCCCACCCCAAGTCCCCCCCTCTCGGAGTCCTCCCCTCTCCCACTCACAAGTTCTTAGGCGAAACTTTTGGGGAAAGCGCAAAAATTTAATTAAATCCATGTCAAAGTCAGAAAACACCGAACGAGACCGTAGAAATGCGAATAAATAGGAAGCAGGAAGTGCGTATATATCGGGAAGCAACTCTCCTCTAAACGCCCCCATCAGGTGGTGACAACTCTGTTGGTTTTGCCGAGACAAACTGTACTTCCTAATCGGTTTTGTTTTGAGTGGAAAATTAGGGAAACGATGTCCAGGGGATGGCCCAAAAAGTCTTCATATACCCATTAATACTTGCATCGGGTGGCAACTCTGCTAATTTTGTTTTGTACTCTTATTCTTAAATCACTTACTTTGCCCTGGTAACCCTGGCAACCCTGGCTTCCTGTGTACCAAATACATTTAAATCACTTTTACGTGCCTTAAGTGCGGTCTTCCTTTTTCCAGGACCCCACACACACACCCACACACACACACACACACATGGGAATCATGAATAAATAAATTGTATGCATAAAAATAATTCAATTATAGGCATGCCCCCACATATGTATGTACAGCCCCTACGCCACCCCTCTCCGGGAAACCTCTTTGCGGTTCCGTCTCCAACCCCCCCGCCACTGCACCCCACGCACCACGTTTCGGTTATAAATAAATTGGTAAAGCAATTTTTCGTGTGGAGGAGCCACTTCATTGAATTTCATTGATTTTGTTTTTTGATTTATTTTTACCCCGACAAAAAAAAGGTCTTTCCTCTTTGTCTCTGTTGATGGGCGATCGATGAGGAGGCAGCACAAGAATGGAAGCCAAAACAAGCTTAAAAGCAGTCGATCTATGGCAAAAGTTGCCATCAATTTGGGTCCATATACCAGTTCCAAAATTGTGGCCACCCTTCTGCCTGAATTTCGGTCTCATTCGAGTCACAGTTCTTAACCATAAATCACTCAAGCGGCAGAAGCCACAGGTTGTCGTTGGGGCGAGTGTCAGCCCCCATTTTTCAGCTTGGCCTTCAATTCAATTAACAATTGTGTCTATATATATACACATATATATATGTAGAAGGGAGATGGAGAAAGTCCCTCCATCGAATGAAAGGACAAACCCAAAAATGCTTCATCGACTGCTGCCTTCCATCCTCTCTCTCTCTCTCTCTCTCTCTCTCTCTGCGCCTTCGCGCTGCCAACTGCAATTAAAAGGCCATGAATTTCAGGTCTTCTCCTCCTTTGATTCAGCCCCCACCCCTGTGGGCGTGGCCTGGAAAGCGAGAGGCACTCAACAGCTGGCCCCACTCGATTTATCCATTTTATTTGGTAAATTATTGATCTGACAAAATGTTTCATTGGAAATGGCAGACATATCCCTGACCTATACCCGCTTCTGCTTTTTTCTGGAGATATTTTTGTCATCCTTTGGAGGACTTTTCTGCAGAAATGGCATATTTTTATGGAATCTATGGAAATACCCAAAATATATTCTTTTTGAAGAATATTCGTCCCTCAAAATAGAATCACTTTACAAGAAGATGAATCTTCAGGGGCACCTAAGGCTACCCTTTCTTAGACCTGCCCTCCCCCTGGGATTTTCCTTTGTTTTGCCCAAGATTTCCACATATTTCACCCCCTCCCCTGCCCTGCTGTTGGCCAATAAAAATTATGAACATGTTAATGCTTGCAGCTTATTTGGCGGGCAATTAATAAATTTTCGAAAATTCCACATTCCCCCAAATGTTTTTCTTTTCCATTTTCTTTGTTCTCCCCCGCCTTCTCTGCTTTGCTCCAAATGTGTCTCGCATATTAATGAACATTTGCTTTTCCCCCTCTCAAAAGGGAGGAAAGTGTGTGTGTGGGGGGGAGGGGGGGGGGGAAAGAAAATTTATGTTCTCAGGTTAAATTCCTGGGATTCTTTCGTGTCGTTTTCCCTTTTGTGTGCTGTTCATTTGTTAAATTAATTTATGTTTGCTGACTGTTAAATTTTTACAACATATTTTGCAGTAGAAAGGGGAGGGGGGCGGCGGCGGGGGCCCCCTTAACCCTTTTGATATATTCGGAATTTGTGAACTTTCGGAGGGGATCGATGTTGGGACAGGAAAAAGTTGTGAAAGACTTGAATATTTCTTTGAGAATAAATTATACACTAAATTGTGTTTAAAAACTTAATTTTCTGCCACATTTTGCCCCGCTTGAGGTAGTCCCACACGGCTCTTCGGGGCCCCATAAATATTCACCCAGGCAGACACGCCTACATCCTGAACTTTGACCCAAATTGTCCGGGACTCATTTGCATAGTAGACTGGAAGCAGATAAAAAAAAAAAAAAAAGAAACGACTTCGCTGCCCTTAAAGTGAATTAAATATGAAATCTACTCAAATATTTAGCAGGGGACCAGTCCGCAGTCCGCAGTCCTGTGTGTCCTGTGTGTCCTGTGTGTGTCTCATATGTGCGGCACCCCCAAACATTTCCCCATTGGACAATCCAACAAAACAAAGAACGAGACAAAGAGAAACGGAGCTGGGAGAGGGGGGTCCCTGGCTCTCTGGGTCTCTCTAATTGTTATATGTTTATCCGCAAAGCAAACTATAAAAAGGACCTGCCCCAAATCCAGATACTACCCCTGCTCATAACTCTCTGCCACTAAGCCCTCTCCTCGCTGCCTGCCTGCCTGCCTGCCTGCCTGTGTGTGTGGAGGTCCCTCTAGTGCCTTTCAGGAGTTGACTTTTGGCAATTTTTTAATGTCCTCTGGTCGGGGCTCTGGGTTTTTGGCTCCTTCTCTGGTTCCCCGAAAACGTATTTCACTTCATTTTTTATGCAACACCACCCCGCTCTAGGGGTGTGGCAAAAAAAAGGTTTGCGTGCCAAATTATTGTGCCACTGGCCCAAAGTTCTTTTATTTCCTGTCCTTTTTTTCCGCTGAGGCAGCAGCCAAAAACGCCAAAAGTGCGTTGGACTCGGGAAAGGAGTGTGTATGTACAATATATATATCGATTTTTAGTGGCTGTTTCAACTAAATTTAGAGGCAAATTCCAAGCTAAAAATTTTAGAGAAATTTCTAAGGAATATTCAGTTGAATTTAAAAGATATATGGCCTTCAAATAGGCATCGAAATGGTTCCATTTTTGAGGATTTATGAGGGGCCCAAAGCCCCCTTTAATAGACTTTAAATCGAGGGCCCAAAGGAGCCACCACATGTCTTGTATTTTCTTGGAATTTTCCAACATTTCCGGTTTTTGTTTTCCTTTCTTCTCTCGTTTCCCCCCTGCGCAGCTTTAAAGTATCTTTCCAACCATAAAGTGCTTAAGTCTTGAGGGTTTCAACAGCTTCTATATCATCCCAAGCTTAAGCGGAAGGACACTGAAGGACTCCTCTCTTCGGCCCCCCCCCCCCCTGCCGCAGCCATGACATGCGACACAATAAAAACGAGTTAGGGATCTCTAAACCATTTTAAACATTTAGTGCACCGCAGCGCGAGACCCACCAAAAAAACAAAAAAAAAATGAAGAAAAACTAAATAAAAATGAGAAGAAAAGTAGGGGAGGCGGAGAGATAAAACCAAGGGGAAACTGCATATAAAGATAAAATATTTCATTTGCTCTCTCTCTCTCTCTCTCTCTCTCTCTGTCCCTCTCCCTCTCGTGTGCTCCGACATTTGTGGACTTAATGCAATTGTCGCATTATTTCCTTTACTTCTACGGCGAAACACTCCACGAAATGATATATACGCAGAGACAGGCACAGCTTTGGCTGGATACAGTATATATGTATCTGAGACCACAAGCCGAAGCCCATGATACCCTTCCAAAAGTTTCTTTTTCTTGGAGTTCCCTATTGATGATATACCGCCGATTTGGTTAGGCCTAGACCGAGATACATATCAAATAATATATGTATAAACCTTCACTTTGGGTGGGATTTTTTAAATGGAAATAGCTTTAGAAGAAGGCTATCCCACCCATACAGATCCCATACAGATCTCTCCCTTCCTGAGATCTGAAACCGCTATACCCTTCTGCCATCAAGGGTATTCCTATACTCTTATATATATCTATTCTTTTTTTTTTAAGTACCTCACTTGTGTGTTGGGCTCTTTTTTCGTTGGTGTTTTTATTTTGCCGCATGGCGTCTCGTCTGGCGTCTGCCACGGCGTCTGCAATTGCTCCTCCCCTCCTCCCCACACCCCTCCCCTGTGGCCCCTGCCTCGAGGTTCTTGGTTATTAAGCCATTTTCCCCCCCTCGGTCCCTGTTCTTTTTCTCTCCTTCTTTTTTTGTGGCAAATCAAGCAAAGTGTTGGCCAAAAAAAAAACTATATATATATATATAAATTAAATAAAAATTCCTGGCCAGCGCACACATGTGCGCAAAGTTTTCCATTTTCCCAGGCCACCATTTTTCGGGGCTGCACTTTATTTGCAGAATTTTCCCCTCGGCGGATGAGCTGGAGGTTTGTTTTCCTTTAATGAGTGGAGTTTTTTTTTTTTTTTGTGTTTAAATTTAAGGGAAAATATTTGCAAAGAGAAGGGTAGAAAATGGACATTTCCCAATACATCAACTGCTGTACTTTCCTTTCGTATGGCTCAAAATTTCGTTGATCTTTACGGGTAGTTCTCATGGTTCATCTCCACTATTGAGAGTCCTGTGAGATACTCTTGTAGATCAATAGAATCATGCGATTTGTAGGCCACTTCTCTGGCTTGGGGTCCCCTGCTGGGGCAGAATAATGCCATTAATTATGAGTGCAGACAAATCACGGGGAAAAACGTTGGAAATTCGCTGCCAAAAAGGGGCGATGGGGAAGGGGAAGGGGAGAGCTGCCACTGCCACTGCCACTGCAACTGCCACTGCACTGTGGTGACAAAAACAATTCATCTTTAAAGGCATCTCTCCCCCATCCCCCAGCCCCCAGCCACCGTCCGGGGAGACAATTTGTGCGTGCAAACTCTGGGAATTCTCGGTGCTCCTTTGCCGTTTTTTCTCTCTCTCTCTCTTTGTTTTGTATTGTGTTTGCCTATCCAATAACAGACCCCCGACCATGCCCCACAGCCGTGAAGAGGAGCAAATGCTAATCTTGATAAAAATAAACGCACTCGGGCACGTTGCTCAAGAGGAGGGGGAGAGGAGGAGGAGTGCGACCCAAGTGCGACGGCATCTCACGTTTTTCGTCGCATTTTCAATTTGCTTGGCATTTGCCCGCCTGGTTTTTCCACAGTTGTAGCTCCTGCTCTGGCTCTGGCTCCATGACTGCTTCTGGTTCTGCCTCTGACTCTGCCCCTCGTTCTGCCCCTCGTTCTGGCCATTGTCAGTCTCCACGACTAAGTGAATATTAATATTGACTTTGTGTGCTCTTCGCATAGTTCACAAAAGTTTTTCACCTTTGATTGCTTGACTTGACTTGTGGCAGGGGGCAGGGGGGGCATGGGGCATGTGGTGGCACGACTGCGAGGGAACCCTGACCTCCCCATTTGTGGCCTTTAAAGTCGATGGCCCTGCTTTTGCCGGGACAAAATTTATGTGCAAACTTTATGCATGGCAGAGAGAGGGGCGGGGGGGCGTAGCTAAGGTCCTTTTCCGTAGTGTCTCCCCTCTAGCTCTTTCTATTATCATCAGTTGTTGCTCCTCTCCACTCTGCACTCTCCACAGACATTATTTTTCCATTTTTATGGCATTTAAGTTCAAATGAGGAACGTGGGATAAGGACTCGCACTCGGAGTCCTTTCGGGTGTCGCACTCCTTGAGCTTGATTTTCTTTTGCTTTTCCGGCGGCTTACCTGCAAAGAGAAAGCAAAAGGAAAGCTCAAACAATGTCAATATAATTAAATGAAGCTTATAAAAACTGAACACCAAAACGGGGAGGGGGGGAGGCGCCAAAGAGGGGAGGGAGCCTCTGTGTGTCTGGGGGAATCTGTGTGTTGATTGGATTTTTTGGTTTAGCTCCAGTCATAAAGCGAATGAGGGCGAGCAGCACGGGCAGAAAGGAAAGGAGCAGGAAATAGGAGCGAAATATGCCCAAATGAAATGAGAAAGTGCCGCCCCAAATCCAAGATTAAAATAAGCTTAAAGCTGTAATCCGTTTAAAGGTGGCCCAAGGAATCAGGAATCACGAATGTGCCGCCTGTGGGGCAGATCCTGCCTTAATGATGGATCCTGATAAATGATGGATACTCTTCGATTGTTCTGGACCCCTCTTCCCCTCTTCCCCTCTCCCTCCCCCACCCACGCCCACCACTCTCTCAGAAAAAGTGCAGCCAACAACTTTCAACTAGTTGGCCTTTGACACAGGATCACCCTCCCCCTCCCCTTTGCCCAACAATCAACTGCCTGCCTCTGACTCCGCCCCCTGCCGTTCCTCTCTCTCTTTGGGCAGCAAGTTTGCTTTCAAAATATTTGCCACAATGAAATCATGTTCAACCACCAGCCACCCCCCGGCCCCTGCCCCTGCCCCCGCCCGTTCCACTTATAGGCCTCTTCACCGTTTCGGTCACAGCCGACAAACAATTTGGTGGCAGAGAGGCAGCGGCAGGGGCAAAAACAGAACCAAAGTTGAGTTCGCTTTCCGTGCGAAAGTTTATTAAAACTAAAAAAAAAGAAAAACTTTCCTTTGGCACAAACAAAAACACACACGAAACCACATATACCCTTTTGTGAGGGGGGGGGGGGGAGCGGAATATAAAGAAATAAAACACTTTGCGGATACCCTTCAAGAGCTACAAGATATAGTCGATTCCCATCAAAGATTTGCGCCACAAACAGGCCGCCCCCAAGGGAGCAGAAAAGGGTAGCTGAAAAGAGCCTCAACGAGGGAACTGAAAAGTGGAACTTAATAATTCACACGGCAGTGCATTTTTCACAATTTTCCCGAAAGCGAGCAGCCAGAGAAAGAGAGTGGGAGAGTGGTTGATGGCCTTTTTTTTAACGTAAAATATGAACCACAATCCGAACGAAGGAGTGGCTGGAGGGGAGCAGCGATGCCAGAGATGGGTTGGAGGAGCCTGTGGCCTCTCGTGTGAGCTTTCAACTTTTGTTGACACTATGAAACCTCTAAAGTTGGCGTTTTGGTCTTTATTATTTGTTTTACAGCTAGTTAAGGCCATTGTGTGTGTGTGTGTGTGTGTGTGTGTGTGTGCCCCAAAGAGATGAGCAATCGAGGGCTGCTTGTGGCTTCCATTGTTTGTCGTTTTGTATGCAAATCAAAAGAGGTAAACAGAATTGAATGGGGCACACACACACACACACACATGCCGCATGCCACATGCCACATGCCACAGTCCCGCCTGCATATGTAATATGTTAATTACTTAATTGAGTGCTGCCGCTGGCCAAATATGTACCCAAGTGACTCCAAATCGCATTCAAAGTTCAAGGAACTGTTTTCAGTGGCCCCTCCCCTGGAATTCTCCTGGATTCTCTCATTTTCGGGTTTCATGAATATGCATTCCTCCGCCCTCTCTTCGTTGGACAGAGCTCATCATGGCCATAACTATTAGACGGTCTGGATGGACTGCATTATGCAAAACTTATAAGCCATAAAATGCACCAGACTGGGCCTAGAATCCCCCGTCCCCCGTTTACCGTCCCCCTCCTCCGACTGGCTGGCTGGCTGGCAACTCGGCAACTTTCAAAATGCAAAGTTGTCAGCATAAAAAAAAGGAAAAGTTATCCCGACCTAAAATGAAGCGACAGGCTCGCTCCTCCATTTCTCTCCGGCTCCCCCTTCGAAGAGGGACTCTTCTCAGTTTTGGCTGTGTCTGCGTCTCGACTTTTATGAAATATTAGCCACCAACTTATGCACATAAATCTTGGCACTGTCGTGGCGGCGGCGTGGCACTGTCTCCACCTTTGGGCCGCAAAAGTTTTCCGCCCGAAAAAAAGGTGCGAAAACTCCCAGATATCCTGCAGGAGTATCTTCATTAAAATATTCGCTAATTTTCAATAGAATAAAGAGTGCCCCCCCCTAGAGGAGAATGGGGGTATTTTGGTTTACAAATTATTAATCAGCCGCCCCTTTGGCCTCCCCTTTTCGTTGCAGAAACCCATTAAGCAGCCAAGATGTGCAATAATTGGTGGTAACACCGCACTCGCCGCACGCAGGACAACAAATAATTATCGAACCCAAGCAGCAACCGGAAGCAGCAGCAGCAGCGTCGTCTATTAGCAGCGCATACAAAATGGCCGACCACACAGACACCACCGCAACCACAGCGACAGCGACAGCGACAGGAAGGAGCAGAGCCGTGCCGGTGCGGCTGCTCCTTCTGCTGGTGCTGCTCCTGCCACTGCCACAGATACGGGCCTTCTGCCCCTCCAAGTGCCAGTGCCTGGGCGGCGAGGCCAACAGCCGGGCTTTGTGCGTGGATGCCGCCCTGGAGGATGTGCCCATCCAGCTGAATCCCGAGACCAAGTACATCAATCTGACGCTCAACCGGATACGCAACCTGGAGTTCTCGCTGCCGTTCTACATGAAGCTGGAGATACTCGACCTCTCGCAGAATATCATCGAGACGCTGGGCTCGAAGAACTTCGAGTACCAGTCGGAGCTGCGGACGCTCAACCTGAGCAGGAACCTGGTCAGCTCCCTGCACAAGCACGCCTTCAAGGGACTGACCAATCTGCTGCTGCTGGACCTCGGCTACAACCGCATCGAGACGGTGCATCCGACGGCCCTCGGGGACCTGGCCTCGCTGGTGGAGCTCGACCTGACCAACAACAATATTGTGAGTCTCGAGGACAACTGCTTCAAGGGCATGGCCGCGCTGGAGGTGCTCGTGTTTCGCAACAATCGCCTGCTCGACGTCCCGGCCAGCAATCTGTGGCATCTGCACGCCCTCAAGAGCCTGGACATGTCCGACAACCTGGTGGAGTTTGTGCGCAACGACAGCTTCGAGGGACTGAAGGATCTGCTGGCCCTCAGCCTCAGGGGGAATGTGATGAGCGAGCTGGATGGCAGCGCCTTCGAGGGGCTCATCTCGCTGAAGCACTTGGATCTGGCGGATAACAATCTCACGGTGAGTGGAAGCAGAGGGCCAGGGGCAGGGGCAGCCTCATTGCTTGCCTCATAAATTTAGACACTCTGCCAGGACGGAATCCTGTGACCGAGCGGATTTCAGGGCCCTGCCTGGCCCTTCCTGGAGTTTGCTGGCATTTTGCATACGCAAAATTAATAACAGCAACACCCACACACACACACATCGCATACGCACTCCTTTCTGGTCCTTTCCTGCTAGGGCTTCCTTTGCTTAGGCCCCCGGCCATTTGGCCAACATTTCTCCGGGTTTTTTTTTGTGTTAAATGTTGCCGCTGCGTCTCTGCCAGAGTTATGCATATCCTTAGTCCAGGACAGACTTAAAGCTGCTTCAAACCCCGTTCAAAAAGTATGCCTTTAAGGAGCTTCAGCCCGCTCTGCCTTCTGGCTTGTCTCTCGCGTGAAAGGTGACTAAATATAGAACGTTTAATCACAGCTTTTTGGCCAACGCTGGCGTCTTAAATTTAGCACAGACCAAATCATTAGGAAGCATCTCACCGGGAGTGCTCTTCACTGGCTGTGTAAATCCTCTGCTAGGAGGCGAAATGCCATGAGAGAGAGGCGAAATGCGAAATGCGTTTCGTTTTTATGCAATCACAGACTCTGCCAGACTACGCCAGACTACGGCCAGGATGCAGCAGCCTCGTCGGCATCCTTTTATTCAAACTGGATGGATGTAATCCCCGCTCTGTACCGGCCTGTACAGCCGAGTTCTGGTCGTTAGAAGGGTTTAACGTGCGGGAGAGTGTGGTCCTGCTGCTGCTTACTGTCTGGTCCTGTCTGCATCCTGGATCCTAAGCAGGTGCCACAGCAGAAACACGACCAGCAAACAGCAACCAGGAGCAAACCGCGCGTACTCAACGTAGCTGGAATTTATGGCGCTCGGAATCAGTTCGAAACTACTTAAAATACCTTTTGGCATTTTGTAGTTGAAATATGGTACGGCACCGGTCCAAGCCCAAGCCCTACCCCTTCTCTGGCTGGGTCCCCTTTCGGTATTCTCGAATGGCATGCATTCTTCTTCCTATTGGACAGATTGTTGTTTTATTATGCACTACTAGACCCGCCTTCCTTCGCTCCCTTGGCATGCGGCTAGTCCATGAAATTGTGCATAGTTTCCTCCGGCCATCGGGAGTCGGGAGAGCCTGCAATGGCATTATGTCTACGCCTGGAATAACACACACCGCAACAGCCATGAATATGACTTATGGAGTGCCTGGCCTCAGTCGTCCGACTGCACATGGGTGCGCCATGTGTTTGTTTCCTGGTCGATAGGAGGCCAGGGATTCACTCGATTCACCATTTTAGAGAGTAGCAAAAACCTGGAATAATACGCACAATTGATTGATTATTTTCTGCATTCCCTCGTGGACCATTGATGTTTCATTAGAGTTTGTTTACAAGCTCGTATTCCATAAATTAACAAAAATATTTACTCATCTGGTGGCAGATCAAAAATAATTGCAAAAATATGTGTGCGAGTGGGGAAAAAGTTTTAATATGAACCAATTTACTCTGCATTTGAATTTGCATTTTATTTATTTACTTGCAGTTTATGTATTTATTTATTCTCTTTACTTTGCCACAGTTTCATGTTGTTGCATAAATATTGCGTATCGTTGCACAACTGTAAAGTTGCTTTGATGCTGCAGGATTTTCTTGCTGAGATTTCTACCATATGGCAGGGGACTATATAGAGGGGAGCGAGGGGGGGGTTTCAAAGACCTTCAAAGAATGTGATATTTCCGATAAAATCTCAACTTTTCTCTTTTTCGACTGAAATTTGCTTTAATTATCACATTTTCCTCCCCTTTCCCACCGAAAAGCCGAGAGAAAACAGAAAGGGTTGGTCATAAAAATGAAATTTTAGCGAAAAATCAAAGTCAATATAATTTTCACTTTCTTTGGTGCCCCCACGCCCACGCCCACGCCCACCCCTCCTGCCACCCGCTTTGCACGCCCTAAAGTTCTTTTTTCACGCTGCACTGCGGCCACCAGGGGGGGGAAATGGGAAGAAAGGAAAAGGAAAAACCGGACAAGGGGCAAAAGGCTTTTAATTAGTCGCCGCTTTTCCTTTGAGTGCAGCACAAACATCAACAGAGAGGGAAAGAGAGAGAAGTGAAAGTGAAAGTGAAAGAGGGGTAGATTGTGGGTGGGAGAGGGGAAAGGGGGGCGGGGGGGAGTGTTGCCATTTGGTTAAACAATTGCCCCGCTTGGCCTACATTGCGTATGCGTAATGCCTTTGAATTTTCAAACCATTTTCATTGCCTTATGAGCGAGCTTTGGTGGCCACCCACCCCCTCACACACATTTGCCTCCACTTTCGCTCCCCCCCCCCCCCCCCCATGATGTTCATTACGTTATCGCGGAGTGTGTTCGTGTCCGGACGCCTGGCACGTAGCTTCCGACACGCCAACTGCGCCACGGACGGGGGGGGGGGGCCAAAAGCCTTTGCACCCCTTCTGCTGCCAGTGGCAACCTTTTCTTTTATGCATGCCACACTCGAAGCTGTCTGAGTTGTTGTAACAAATTCGCTGCAAGATTGATTTTATTGCCTGGCCAAAAAAAAAAGAGCGCCACAGACGAATTTGTTGGTCAAAAAGAAAAGGAAACGGAACGGCGAGTGATTGGCAAAGGGCGGTGGGGAGGAGTCCGCAATCTGCCAAGGGGTGGATGGGGGGGGGGGGGGGGGAAGTACATGACGTTCGTTTCCGTTTCCGCTGTAACGAGTCTCGTATACCCTCTAAAAGAGTATTACATGTTTCGGAGGGCGCATAAGAAGGGAATCCCAGGAATACAAGGCGGGAACCATCAAAATGTCTCCGAAAAAGAAGGCTTCGTAGGCCCCATTACAGAAGTGTAATTCCTTGTGTCTCGTTCGAAGCCCTTCAAGGGGTATCAATAAAGTCGTGGCTCTCCTCTAGTCCCTTCCGATTGCCACTCTAAACCATCTGTAAAGTGCAGAACCACAAAACGTTTTCAGGACTGAGTGGCCGGCATTAATGTTTGATGGGCCGCCTCCGACTCATCCAAAAAACCAGGAACTTTCCCTCCATTTCTGCACTTTTTTAAATGCTCTCTAAACAGAAGACTCACTTGTACTATATATTTTATTTCATTTACCATTGCAGGTGGTGCCCACACAGCAGCTGGCGAAACTTTCGAATCTCACCTATTTGAACCTCGGAGGCAATCGGTTCGCCCACCTGCCGGCCGTGGCGTTCCTCAACTTGTTTCATTTGCGCGAATTGCACTTGAGCCGCCTCGACTATTTGCAGCGCATCGATTCGAGGTAAGTTCTGGGGGCAACTTTCCCCCCCGGCCACAGGACTCGCGAAAAACTGAATGTGGGTCAGCGGATAATGAAACTATTTGTTTTCCCCCCGAATGGCCATAAAAAGCGGCAGAGGGAGAGAGAGAGAGTCCGCCTCGCTTGTTTTGGTGGGGGGGGGCACTAAAATTGAACATGTTTTGTGGCACGAAAAAGTCACAACATCTAGTGAATCCTTTTGTATTCATTGTGGGTAAACGAATAACCAAATAAGTGTCTGGCCAAGGCCAGAACATCGGCACATTAGAGGATTTCTAAATGTGTTGCAAGCTCGAAAGCCAGGGACCAATCAGGCAATGGAAATTCACTTTCACGCACACAGACAGCAGAGCAGAGCAGAGCCTGCCTCAGATGCAGAACAAGGACAACAACAAGTCATTATTCCTCAATGCAATCAATCATGGCTAATACGCTTTTGGTAATAAGATGCCACCACACACACACACAGCAGACAGAGACGGCGGCGGGGGGTTAAGTGCGGTGCGGAGCGGGGGGTTGTGGGGTGGAAATGCTTGAACTCCATTCGAGCATATGTTAATTCAATAATTCCAGGCAATTTTCATATCAAATCATTCAACGAGTCCTCTTACCCACCTCCCACCACCTTGTGGCGCCCCCCCCCCCCCCCCCCCCTTCTCTTGCGGCATGTCAATCAGCCACCACCGACACCGTCAGAGGCAGCCAGCATCGAGACTGCCACGCCCACTGGGCGATATGCCGCTTTACAATGACATTTCCATGACGCATGAGAGAAAGAGAAAGCAAACGAGAGAGGTGGTGGGGGGTGGGGTGCCGTCTGTATCCGTCTGCTATTTAAATCCAGTTTAATTTGGAAATTTCGTTTGATTTTCTTGAAACAAGTTTGTCTAAAGCTTATCCAGACACACACACACACACACACACACAGCCCCCCGTGAGCCACCCTTCCGGCCACCCCCCTTTTGTAATTGGTTTCGCCTTTTGTTCGCCTTTTGTTTGGTCTCTGTCTCAGAATTGTGTAAACTTTTGCGTCCCAAGCTCCACCAAATTGGTGCCGCCAGACTGTTGATATTGTTGCTCAATCTGCGCAGACATTTACATATGTAAGGACACACACATACACACAGCCTGCTTTGAGTCCTTCATCGAATGTCTAAATGGAACTCTAGTCGAATTTTTCCGCTTGATGATAATTTTCGAGTAGAATTTCCTTGAGGAAAGATACTTTTCGTTCATTATTCGTGTTGCATACTTTCGGGTGGATTTTTGTAGTATCTTATCACTCACCATACAGTATATACTGTATGGTTAGTGATCTTATGCACTGGCAGGCATAAGGGGGATGTCCCTGCACTCCCCGTTTTCCTTTGCTTCTTTTTGGCCAGGAAATTATATCTGTATCTTTTTTATTTGGTTTCTCTGGTCCGACTTGGACGGAATGGAGGCGGCACCTGCCCAAAAAGGACATCGATAGTCGAGGGAAAACCCTATGGTAGTCTCTGTTCCAACACAAAGTAGCCCCCCTCTTCAAGGGGTGTAACTGGAAATATGGAGAGAGTAAAAAGAAGGGGTTGCAACAGGGCCCACACCCCACAATTGCTCCCCGCTTCGCCCCTTAAAAAGGTAATAGCAAAACACTTTAAAGTTGAGAGTTGGTGGGGGAGGGGTAGGGGCCCCCAAAGAGACAGAGACAGAGGGAGAGGGAGAGATATGTAAATATTTATGTAAATGCGTTAATGGAAATCTGAAGGGGGACAGGTTCGAGTGCTCCAAGAGGGGGGGGGGGGGGGGGGGGGGGGTGTACGTTTATGTGGCGAAAGGATACACACACACACATGTGCTCATTATGAAATCCTTACACCTAAACAATCAGCGCGAGTCCTTTGCAAAATTCATTAGGCAGCAGCACGTTGTCATTGGCACATTGCTTTTTGGGGTGGACCTCCCCGCCACAGACTGGAGGCTGAATGCGACAATTGGGAATGGAATTCGTGTGTAATGGACTGCGTGGGTGTGTGTGGGCTGGCTCCAGGCGGAATATGGCCACGATTCTCTGCTCAGAAGGCCTATAAATGTTCTTAAACATCTGAAAGCACGTTGCCATTGGCCTGTCTCCAGGCGGCACCGATTGGCACTCTTTTAAGGCACAAACAGCCGAGTGGCGCTGCTCCATGACGCGTGTCCTCCATTCGCCACCTTTTAAAGGTCCTTTCTGTGGTAATTGGCTCTCACATATCCTGGGCGCTAATTAAGTTGTTTGCTCTGGCACCCCACCAGGCCCCCCTTCATCATATTCATCATCACATTATCCCTACCTCTAGATACATATATTTCTCAGCTGCGGCTTGTCCCTGGCTTCTGGGCTGCTTCTCTTCTGCTGTTGGCTGTATTAAAATTCCACACTCTCGCCTCCCTGGGCCCCCTCTCTGGGTTCCAAGTGCATTGCAGGGGGCGGCTCTATGCATAAATAGACAGACTTAGACATTCGCCGTCCTCTGGTGCCTGTTGTGTGCCTCCTTCTGGTAAATACGCGTAATGGCTACTCCACCACTCCAGTAGCCTTCTCTGAGGCCTTGGCTGGTGGTGCCTTTCCGGGTGCTTCTGCTGCCTTGAAATGTTTCCCAGCTCATAATTTATGGAAAAATATGGCAACAGTCGTCAGTCTCAGGACAGAGCCCAGGACCAGGGCCCAGGGCCAACATGTTTATGTTTTCCTGTTTCCGTAATTTCTTCCTGCTTTCGCCTCGCTTTTGCCCCCTTTGCAGAAGGGTATTCAAAGTACTTTGAAAAAGTCGGGGTAAACCATCGAAATGTATTCCATATACCCTCCTTCTGTACAAAGGACCCCTCCGTAAGGGTATCCACAGGTTGCAGCCCTAAAACCACTCTTTCTTTGTTCTTTTCTCATTCTTTCTCTGGGAACATTTTGCATTGCAGCCGCGGAAGGATCTCTCCTTCTGTTCTGTTGGGGCTCTTGTTGGTTCTTCTAACCTTTTGACTCTGGGAGGGAGCGGGGGGTGGAAGGGGGGCCTTTTGTTTAATGTCGATTTAGGTGCTGTTTGTTAAGATTTTGTCTCGACTTGTTGGCTCATTACGCAGACACATTTTCGTTTAATTAGAGAAGAAAAAACGCATTGCCATTCGAGCACTCCTGCAGACACAAGAGCCACTCTCCTGTTTGTGTGACATAAAGGATGTCAAATGCATTTATACAGGCAACAAATGGTAGAGTGAATGCAAAAAATTGCCCTCATTTGCAGCCCGAGAAACATACACTTGAAATTATTCAATTCACAATTCAAATAAAATAAACTCTGCTTTTAAATTCCGATATTCCCCTCGCTTGGAAAAGCTATAATTTCTTCAATGCAATTTTCATTCGCTTTTCCCCGATTTCCTTCTCTACTGTTATTTGTCCAGGCTTAATCTATAATTATGCGAAACGAAGTGGGCGAAAGGCAAGTGCTCTACGGGCGGAAAATGAATGGTTTAACGGGGCGTATGCGTAATTTAGAAACGTTTAAAATGTCATTAACAAATTGCCTGGGCCCATGTTACGTGGTCGGGGGTGCCCCCGATCCCTTTCAGAGGCCAGGAGCTCAATGAACCCCAGACCCAGGAGCCACCCGATGCCCCATGCCCGCTCGGAGGAGACCAGCTAAGGACATCCCGTCATATTTTCGTTGTAGTTAAAATGTCAATCAAATATCGAGGGAGAGAGACGCAGAGCGGCAGGATACAGACAGGATTGACAGACTGCTATTCAAAACTATATCAAATAGCCCGACTGACAAACTGTTTGACAGTCTGACTGATTGACTGTCCAAGCAGCCAGACAGTCAGACAGCCTGGATGATTCCTGGAGTCCTGAACCCTGCACAGAACGGAGTGCACGGACAGCAGCAAACATTTCATTCGGATTTCGAGCAATTCCAATTCGGAGAGCCACCCCCATGGCCCTCAACGAGAAGGGATCAAGAAGGATACGGATACAGGCAAACATTTATGCCTCACACACACCCACATGGCAGCCATTTCCGTTTCCGCACGTTTGACGTTGGCAAAAGGCAAACGCAAATGGAGTTAAAAAATGAAGAGCAAACGGGGAAAAACAAAAGGGGAAGAGGGGCCCGGGGCCCATACCCCTTACAGGTCGATCGGTTCTCCGCCCCCGCCTCCGAAAGGGGGGGGGGGGGAAACATGTGACATGCAAAATGAAGGACCCCCCAAAACAGCAAAAAGGTTGGGCCCATCCGTTCTTTTGTTGCATTTAAAGCCGCACACACACACACACACAGGTCCATCCAACCTGTGGAGCCTCGAGGTGTCTAAAGGCATCCCCGTGGTGTCACGTTTTTCTGTTGATTCCCCCCCCCTCTGCCGAAAATATTTGCATAATATTTGCACAAATAATTGAATTTATTTTTGCCTTTTTTGTTCGGTTTTGTTTGGTTAACCGCTAAATTGTTTTGCACTCGTTTGTCGTCTGCAGACACGGGGTTTTTTTTTTTCTTACTTTCTTTTGGTAATAGAAAGTTTTCTTTAGGCTCTTTTTTGTGGCCTGCAATTGAAGATTGAATTGAATGTTAAACTTGCCATGAAATCGAATGTTCGACAGGTTCGAAAACCAAGGGGTATAGAGGCGGGGGGGAATCATGTGTGTGTGTGTGTGATGGGAATCTACCTTGGGGGCTGTTTAATCTCTACTTTGAGCTATGGACTGATAAAGGAGGAAAAGGGGTGCCGCCTTCTAGAGTCCTTCCATTTGTTACACAAAAATAACTTCTGAGCGTTGAGACTCGTCCTTTAACATAATAAATGACAAACAAAAGCCGGGCTCTCGTTGCCATTTCAATTCGAATTCATCACAAGATGGCTGCCTGCCTGGCCTCGGGCCCCTCGAAGAGGGGTTCCACAAAATGCAGCCACTTATCAAATCAATGCAGGGCGCCGCCCCTCTGCAGAGTCCTGCAGCTGCTCCTGGTTCTTGAAATAAATGCGTTCATTTAACAGGGAATGCAACTCTCTGCAGAGCAGGGAACGCTTAAGAGCGACAAATTCGCTTTGTGTCACAGCGGAGAAGTCGGAGATGGAGTCGGAGATGGAGTCGGAGACGGAGTCACAGTATTGCTCATACGCCACGTTGCACTTATTTCATTCAACATCGGAGACTGTCTGGGACAGGGGACTGGGGACTGGGGACTGGGGTACACACACACACACACATGCAAGCCCCGCCGTTGACTTAACTTGGCAGGGATTTACGACAACGCTCCATGGAGCTCGAATAACATGGAGAGCTGCAGACTTTACTCCTTCGTCGTCGTCGTCTTAGTCCTCGTTTTTTATTCCCTTTCATTCATCCTGCCCTCCCCGCTGTCCCACTCTCTTTTTATTAAGTTGAAAATAGACGCAGGCTAAATAAATCCATGTCGCTTACTCGTAAGTCGCAAGCTGACGTTGTCATGTGTGCAACGAGGGCTGCCTGATGCCTGGAGGATAGTTTTAAGCTCCTACATTGAATGCATAATTAGGTGGCAGGACCCTGGCAGGGATATTCCCTCGAGGGAAAGGGGGAGGGGGAGGGATTACAAAACTGTCGCTAATTAATTCGCAATCTTTTGCAGGGCGTTCGTGGACAACACCCACCTGCAGACGCTGCATTTGAACTACAATCCGCAGCTGGGCGACATACCGATGCGCCTGTTCCAGGGCAATCCCAACATCCTGGAGGTCTACATGCAGAGCAACAGCCTGCAGACGCTCTTCTCCGCCCAGTTCCCGGTGGACCAGCTGCAGAAGCTCTATCTGGGGGACAATCCGCTGCAGTGCAACTGCTCGCTGCTGTGGCTCTGGCGCCTCGTCACCGGCAACTTCGAGGGCGTCGATCCACCGCTGGAGCATGCGGCGGGCGGTGCCGTGGCCGCCCTGGCCAAGGAGGCCGGCGACAGGGAGGCGGAGACGCAGGCGGAGGAGGACGATGCCACCACGGCGGCTGTGGCGGAGGACGGCGTGGCCGCTTTGGCCGCCTACATAGCCGAGCAGCACATCGCCAATGCGCTGCACACCACCGAGCCGAGTGCCTACGAGCTGGCGACCTCCGCCTCCGCCTCGGCCTCGAGCCGCAGCTCTGGGTACCTGCGGATGGACCGGCAACAGATCGGCTGCGACATCTGGCGGGACACGGTGCGCACCCGGCGGCAGCTGCTCTCCATGAGCGAGGGCGAGATCACCTGCCCCGCCCACATCGTGACGGTGGTGTGCGCCGTCATCACGTGCCTCCTGGTGGCCATGATCGGGGTGAGCGTCCTCTACTACCTGCGCTTCGTGAAGCGCCGCCGGAAGCTGCTGCACGAGCGCGGGCCCCTGCGCACCAGCAAGAGCATTATCAATGTCCACGACCGCATCCTGCAGGGCCACCAGCCGCTGGGCATGGGCCTGGGCCTCGGCATGAGCATGACCCTCGGCGGCAGCAACGGGGGCATGGGCATGGCCCTCAACTATCCACACCACGCGCAGACCCTGCAGGCGCACCATCACTACCACCAGGCGATGCCGCTGCAGGCGCCCCACGGCGCCGGCGGGCACGGCGGGCACGGCGGGCACGGGGGGCACGGGGGGAACGAGTACCAGCAGACGACGCTGCCGCAGCTGGACAAACTGGAGCTGGAACGGTATCTGGCGGCCCAGACGATTGCCAACGAGTACCGGGCCCTCAAGCCCTGGGAGCTGCCCGTCAAGGAGGCGGACGACGAGCCGGAGCACCTGTACGAGCGGTTCGATCACTACGAGTATCCCGATACTCAGACCATGAGCAAGCTCAAGCAGGCGGCGGCTCTCTCCTCAGCCGGGGGCTCTCCCGTGCCACAGGCTGCGGCAGCCGCTGGCAAGCCGCATGTCGTCTACGTATGACGTGGGCGTGGCCAGGATTTGGATATCGAAATGGAAATGGAAATGGATATGGTGGGCCCCAGTCTCACCAACAACAACTATCGGAGCTATGTGCAGAGCCAGTTCTGAAATGAGGGATCTCTAGGATCCCACAACGACGAGGACGAGGACGACGCCATGGAAACAGGGAATGTGAGGTTATGGTTTGTTTAAAAGGGCAACAAAGTTTAACAAGCGTCAAATGAAACAAGGGATATACATGTCTACGAATACGACTAAAAGATACAGATACATACTAATCGATAGGCTATAAGGCACACACACACACACACACACACAATTTAGCTCTTTTTCACTCTCTATCTCTCGCTGTCTCCCTCTCTCATAGTTAATGGCATTCAGCATTCGAATACTCTAGATAGCATCTTAGTGGATAAGCTCTACCTTAAAAGTGAATTTAAACCATGATTATATAATGATATATAGAGAGATGTAAGCGTACAGTTGTGCTGGGGAATGCAGCAGCGCCCCTCGGCTGGCAACAGACACAACTGTACCCGCACTCGGAGAGATGCATGGGGAGCATATTGTGGCACTGAAAACAACCCAAATGGGGACCAAATAGTCCAGTCCAGTCCTGTCCTGTCCATAAGCCAGATCCAGCCACTCTCCATGTATCTTTCCTTCAGCAAAAAAAAAAAACAAAAGAATAAAAATCTAAAGTGACAATATACAAATACATAAAATATAAAGCATTAAAAATAATATATAAAACAAAGCAAAATTATGATAATTCTAGATGTACGCGTATTATATGGAATAAATGTAATAAACTCAAAGTTGAAAGAATTTGTAAATATATACCAGAGGGCCCCCCCTCCCCTACATTAATGTAAATAATTAATAAATTGCCAATAAATTCCCTCTATTTGTGTTCAAATCAAAGGCCATTCGTTTCATGTTTTTGCATATAAAATAATTCAATTAAATAGCAAATAGATGGCAAATTCTGGAAAATATTTGCACACACACAGAGAGAGAGTAAGAGAAATGGGGGAAAAAGCAAGTGTATAAATAATATATAAATATTTATCAAATAAAAATATAAAAACAATATACATTAAATAAGCAAAATCAAAAAGGCAGATACTCACACAGAAACAGAAACAGAAACAGATACAGATACAAATGCACTCGAAATGCATCACTGTGTGAATAAATCGAGGGTGTGGGGAGGGGGGGGGTTAGAGGGTAAATACTATACATATAATATACGAGTATATGCAAAAATATTTAATTAAATGATAGACACACCCCCCACACCCCCAACAACACCCCCAACAACAACAAATAATAAAAACAAAATGTTATTTCTTATACGAAGACTGAAGAAAATGATGAAGCAAATAAAAATGAAATGAAAAATTACCGAGAAATGTATTTGAATCAACAAAAAAACGGAAGGAACGAGACCCAAGGACCCGTTTGGGTCTCCTTGTGGCCTTTTTGCTCTCCGTTTTTGTGGCAGAAAATACGACTAATCTACAGCAAAAATCCATGTAAAACAAATAAAATACTCGCACAAGCACTGGGGCATAAATCTAGTGCCATCCACCGCCCACAGCCACTCCACAAGTAACCCGAAACGCCCACAGCAGGACACAAGGAGCTGCGTAGGAGGCCATTGCGGATGGGGTGTTTGAGTAAAACTCAAACAGAGGCTGGACCACATCCCTGGGAATCTGCTCTGGGACTTGGGAGGATGGAGTAGAGCTTTCAGAGATTAGCCAGAGATAAATGCAGAAAAGTACGACTGGTCGCTCCGATTAAGGTATACAACTAGGTTCGTTATACGTGGAGGCCCACAACTGATAGATTTCCCATAAACCTAGTGCCCCTTTGAGGCTCCCCAGGCGGAAATGGAAACTCCTGTAATGGCAAATCCTTAAGAATATATTTTTGTATGCAAATTCCTGTATTATTTGAGCATCTAATCAAAAGTAGGCCAAGTAATCGTCCGTTTTATGCATGTTATACATATATTGTGGGTATTCCCAGGCGTTCCTGCCTGCTCTGAAAGGGTAAGAGAGCCTGAAGAATTGAGCAAATAAATCGGCGTGCTTTCTAAATAATTAAATATGCCTTTGGGAAAAAACTGGGTCTCTGCCACTCATCCTCCAGCCGGAACACCTGGGGCTTCTCCCGAGTGTGAATGATGGCCAGCAATTAATATTCCCACATTATGGAGGGGTTTTTCTAGTAGCAATCCACTTAGTTGTAGTTGCTTTTTGTGGGACGTTCAATTAGCTCGAAAAAAAATAGCAAAGGAATCATGAAAGTGTGAGAAGTGGCCATAAGTCATAAAGTGCAGGAAATTGCTTGACGAAATCCCAGGGACGACAAGTGGCCGCCCATTAAATGCAGCTCCAATCCACCCCCAAGGGGGGAGGGGGGTGGTGGGGGGTGGAGAAACGATTTTAATTGCCACGAAAACCAAATGAAATTCTGTTATGGAAGGCCGTTAAACAGCTACAGATACGAATGCTGGAGCATAAAAACTTAATGTCCAGCAATTTGTTAAAAGACGCGCAAACTGCCAAATAAAAGCTGGCCAAGAGGAAGGCATGGCTTTAATAGAAGAGGGAATAGAACCACCCATTGGCTAATTGTTTGCCCGAACAGCTGTGTCCACAGATGGCTCAAACAGTGGCCAAGGCCACACACACACTCACACACACACATGATAAATCAAAGTCCTGATGGCCCTGATGGCGATTTGGAAATTCACTTACATTACCATGTATCCATAGATACATGCTCCTTTGTGGCGCTCTGTCAAAGCAAAACGCAAGGACACATCATTTATATCAATTTAAATAACGACCTTTCAATGGATTTGAAGCTTCAATATGGAGAAAAATCCCGTAAAAAGCTTAACAAAACCCCAGACTGGGGCTGGGACGGATGCCTGGACGTGGCATTGACAGTCGTAAGCCATAAACCACAGCAAAATTGGGCATTATATTAGTTAAGATGCTGTCAAGCCGAAAGATAGCCATGGCCCGAGGGCCAAGAGCCACCACAGTGCAGACATATCGCTTTCAACGCCGACACCCCAAGGGCTACAGAGAGGGCCGCGTGAGAGGAGGATGTAGTCGGACAGACAACAGTATCCAGTAGCCCCCCGTCCGGCACTAAAACACCGTTTGACAGGGAACGAAAGCCAGAACACCAGGAGCGTCAGTGACCACTGGACCACAACAAGAGCCAGAGCCAGAGCCAGAACCAGAGCCAGAACCAGAGCCAGGACTCACCCGATAAGCAAACGCATTCATCTTATAGCCAGTCAAAGGAATAAAGGATAAGGGATAAGGGATATAGAGGAGGTGAGCCCTTAACTTAAACAAAAGTTAAACATATTAAGGGCTTAAAGTGTAGCCAGAACTTGGAATTTTACACGGCGGAAACGGGTACAGCCATGCAAAACCCCGGACTTAGAGCCGGGGTATATCTTGATCAATTTGGAGAAGCGAAGCCAACTTAAATCATAGCCATTCCCCGGTTACTATTTACCTTTTCGGCTCTTGGCTTATCTGGGCCCCACTTTTTATTGGTCTTCTTTTATTTGGCAGGACACAGGGCCCCATAAGTCACTGGATAGCCGCCGATAAGTGGCTCACGGCAGGACACACGAATTAGCTGTGGTTTTTGGCTGCCTTTCTGGCTTTGAACTTGAACAAGGGCCTGGCTTTGGAGAAAGTAAGTTCCAAGAGTTCCAAGGGATCATCGAAAACGTTCCTCGAGTTATAAATTACTGTTTAGTTCTTGTACAATCCCAACCCCTACCAAAACGGAATGCAATCATTTTTCACACCAACTGAAAAATTGCTGAATAAAAAAAACCAAATCAAAATTTCATTTTCCACCGCAAAAATCAAATGTCTGAAGAAAAGTGAGTGCGAGAGTGAGTTTTCATTGGGAAATTGGTTCGTGTTTTGCAACATGACACCCCGAAACTTTGGCATATAGATTTATGAAAATATTTGCACATCAATTCGGCGGCAGAAGGGGCGGCAGAAAGGGCGGCAGGCCGCAAGTGGGGAAAACCCCACCTTTTGGCTTCATTGAACTTCAGTGCTGAAACGCCCTGCAAATACGTATCTAAACTGAATCAATTTCTACAGCGATAAACTTCAGATACACCTTCGGGCACCAGTGGGGGGTGGGGGCGGAGGTAACTGCAAAATGTTGTGTAAAATTTGCAAATGCAATAAATAACTCGTTTCGTTTCGCTGGAAAAAAGGTTTCCCTGTTTACACGCTCCTGAAAAGCATGTAAAGCTTCCTGTTTTTCGCTCTGAAGGAATAAAGGTAGAGGTATCCTTTGCCAGTCGGGTTTTAGATATTCTGCCCATCCCCCCCCCCCCCCCCCCTCCCCTACACCCCTGCCTCTAACCAAAAGTGCGCCACATGTGCGAGTCTGCTTGTAGGATTCCTGTGGATTTTTACTCTTTTGGTTTGGGATACCCTCTCAAATTTGGCGAGTCCTTCAAGGAGTATAGAGATAGAGCCTGTACCCTTTAGTCTCCAGAATGGCAACACTTTCTGGGCGAAACTGGAACGATTTAGTGCTCAAAACCTTCCCGTTTTCCCCTCAAACACGTCTCCTCCAGGTAGCTTTTGGTGGAGCATCATTTTATGGAATATTTCCAGGAAATTTCTAGGGTATCTAATGCTTCGTTTCTCGCATGCCAGACATTTCTTTCATGCTTCTTTTTTCGTTGGTTTTCGTTTTCCTTTTCGTTTTTTGTTTCGCTTTGCGTGTTGTTTCGGTGGCAAGCATCCCCAAAAGTATGCAAATAATTTTTGGCTCCGGCTCGGAATCATATTTGATATTCAGTGTCAGAGCAGGGGGTGGGGGCGGGGCGGCAAAGGGTTGCCAGAGAACACAAGTTATTGAAATTTGCATGCAACGGGGGGGGGGGGGGGCGGCGGCAGGACGGCAGGGCGTGTCTTGGGCCCAGACTTCATTCGGGGCCTCCCTCGGGCAGAGTTTTGGGTTATTGTTTCGCCATTTTCCATGGATCCGTCCCCATGGATGTAATTGCTTCGGAGTCGTTGAGCTTGGATTGTCTGCCACTCGCTAATCAAGCCCCGTCAGAGTCCCCAAACTATGCCAATAATATTGTCATATCCCCTCGATTTTTCCTCGTTTTTTTGCCCTCAAAATGCCACTAAACTTGGCTTATCAAAAGTTGAAATTGCAGCTGGCTTTGGGGATTTGCGTGGGGCCAAACGGCGGGGGGGCAGGAGGGCTACTCTGATACGAGTAATCGGAATTTTTATTTCCTGGTTTGCAGTCGTCATCATCGTCTGCCACTGACCCATTTCTGGCATTTATCACGGGCACGGGCACGAGCACATCCTGCCATTCTCCCGAGGGTCTAAGCCCAGTCAGAATGAATGGCCGACCCAGCTGTGTAGCCCTTCCCCTCCTCCTCCTCCACTCTCGACTGCCGACTAAGTGGACTTTTATTTCACTATTATTGTTGCCAGGCGGATACGCAACGAATAGTTTTTCTCTCTGAAGCGCCGGCTCCTCCTGATGGTTCCATTCGTCAGCGTCATCGTCATCGTCGTCTCCTAAGCGTTCCAGCGGCCCTCGGGAATTGGGATGTGTGGCCCTCTATCTTTGTAGACCCCCAAGCAGTGTCCATTCATGGATGTTTTAAGCCGCGCAACTGTTCTTATCTCTTATCGGCGTGTGTGTCTGCTCCATGGGTTCTTCACCCAAGAAACGTCATTGAATTGGCAGCGTCATGTGTCATCTTTATATATTTATAGCCCCCTGTAGGGGGGGATAACAGAAATAGCGGCCGACGAGGGCCCAAGCCCAAATGGAAATTTCTGACAGATAAGACTATCTACGGGAGGCTCTCTCCCTCTCTCTCTCTCTCGCTCTCTCTCTCGGCGTTCAGTAGATACGCGACCGTCGGGCGGACAAGACGATGAAGAGCCGTCAGGATTCGTGTCTTTGGGGCGTTTGCCTGCTGGTTTTCGTAAGTCGAAGATCTGCCCTCTCGAAGATCGTTTCTGGTTAAATAATCTTTTCAGCTGGCGATACCCCGTGCGATAGTCTGCTCTGGGGACCAGAATCGCCATCGGCTCTTTGTCCAGGCCGATCGCACCCTCTGCTCCATCAGCCATCAGCTCATCGCCCTGGCCACGGAGCTGGTGGACAATGTGGTCGAGGATCTGATCGTCCTGGACTCGCAGAACAGCATCCTGATGGGCTACCTGGACAGCTTCGATGCCTTCACGGCGGTGAGCGACAACCGGACCGAGGAGAAGCTCGACACCTTCTACGGCGTGGTGGGGGACTACCTCGACTCGGACACCGCCGGTGACCCGCTGCGGCCGTCCACCATCGAGACCCAGCTGATCGCCCTGTGCCTGCAGCGCAACGGCTTCGATCGCTGGAAGCGCACCGTCCAGCAGCGGACCAACCAGCTCCAGAAGCTCCTCCACAAGAAGCTGCGCAAGCACCTGGACTCCCTCGACCCCGAGGATCGGCTGGCGGTGGAGCGCCGCTGGAAACGGACCCTCGCCCGCGGCGGTCCCCGAAGACTCGACAAGCTGCGGGAGTTTGTCCAGTGGCTGGGACGCCTGTAGGGCCGAGGGGGGGCGGGGGCCCTCTCCCCCACACCCACTCGTGTTTGTTTATGGCGCCACACATTTATGGCGGCGGGGCAACGATCTGCCAAGGCGGCGTGTGCGGATATTTCTAATAAAACAAAAAAAGTTTTTGATAAGTTTATAGCAGATAACGCAGATAGCAGATCAACGATCTTTAGGGTAGGTTCCTCCATTGGGGGGGGGGGGGGGGCTATCTATAGGTCTCTACCACCAGCTGGAAGGTTTAAACAGCTTTAAATAGAGGGAAAACCCGCCCTATACTGAGGGATTCTTTAAATTCCTTCATCCCTACTCAATCTTCCCTTGGAAACTCCCTTCCCCTTGGCCCACAGATCACAGCTCCGCCTGTCCAAAGGTTTCACCTGCTTAGAACCCCCCTCTGTGTTCTCTTTCTGCCACCCCCTAGAAAACAGACATCTACCAAATGCAATTTCTGTCGAAACTCGGCTCCTTAATGCACTCGAAACTTTACCCCACCCCTTCCCCCTACCCCCTTGGCAATGAAAACTTTGTGATGCCGCCTCCCACGTCCAAAACTTGGATAAAAATTATGAAACTGAATATGGCAGAGCACAAACCCAAAGAGACAAAGAGGGGGGTAGTGAGGGGTAGAGAGAGGGGGAGAGGGGGGTGGGGGGCGACTTGCAGTCATGTGAGGACTAAAACAGATACATTTTATGGATGGCAGACACAAAAGGAGCACAAAACTAAGGGATACCAACTGCATTTCCTGTCTGAAAGCTGACAAAGTGCTGAGTGCACTTTTGAGTGCAGCTTGGAACACGTCATGTCGGGGCGCGGGAGGGGGCGGAGGAGGGAGGAGGGAGTACTCTGTCTAATCCGATAATCAACTGGAACTCTGGCTAATTGGCTTGGCGTTCGTCACAGTTCTGGGTCCAACACACTTGCCTCAGTTCTCTCGACAGAAAGATGAAGGTTCCACTGGGTTTCGGTGGGTTATGGGTTTCCGCCTCTTTGGGGATGCTCCTTTGCTTGGAGTCCGTGCACTCGAATCACTTTGCCAGCCAGCTGTACAGCCAGGCCTCGCGGGATAACCATCAGCGGAACCTCGTGGTGTCGCCGGCCACCACGAACCTGGCCCTGGGTCTGGTCTTCTTTGGGATGCAGAACTGCCCGGAGCTGACCAGCGTGCTGGACACGATGCGGCCCGGCGAACTGGCCACGGAGGACATCAAGATGGTGAATCGGTTGTACGTGGACCGGAGGGTGCAGCTGATGCCCGCCTACCAGGAGGCCATCTCCGACGAGCGACTGGGCCAGCCGGCGAAGAAGGTGGACTTCAGCGAGCCGCAGGTCGTCGGCGAGGAGATCGACTCCTTCGTGCGCATCTTCACGGACAACAAGGTGCGGCAGTTCACGCCACCGGGCCACCTGGACAAGGACACCAGGATGGCCATTGCGAATGCCGCCTACTTCCACGGCCAGTGGGCCAGGCCCAAGCAGACCAAGCGCCTGCCCTTCGACACCTTGGGCGGCGGCCAGCAGCTGGTCGACACCCTCGAGGCATACGAGCACCTGCGCTACGGGCGGCTCGACGGCCTGGACGCCCGCGTCCTGGAGCTGCCCTACGAGGGCGAACGCCTCTCGATGGTCGTCATATTGCCCCGCCAGGCCGGACAGGGTCTGGCCAGCCTCAGCAGCCAGTTGCGCGACGTGGACCTCGTGCCGCTCACACAGAATCTCAGCAAGCGGTTCGTCCACGTGCGCATCCCCAAGTTCCGGGTGGAGACACGCCTGCCCCTGGAGACCGTGCTGCGGCCCCTGGGCGTGAGGACCATCTTCCACGCCCCCCTCATGCACCAGATGGTCGCCGGCAGAAGCGGCAGAAGCCACCGGATCAACACCATTATGCACCTGAGCTCCATCGAGGTGAGCGAATCGGGCAGCGGGTATTCCCCGCTGGCGACCTTCCAGCGGCTGTACACGGAGCCCGTCCAGTTCTGGGCCAATCACCCGTTCGTGTTCGCCATCAAGGACGCGAATCACATCTACTTCATGGGCCACGTGGTGGCGCCCCAATAGTTACCGAAAGGCAGGCATCAGCTCTTTATTAAACAAGATACACCGCTGAGGGCTCTAGTGTTTTGTTTTTGTTTTGCATCTTTAATCGTCTCCCAGATCGCCGCAGTCGCCACAGTCGCCGCAGTCGGAGCAGCAGGCGGATATGCCGCTCAGGCAGCCGCATAAGCAGAGCAACGGCAGGCAAATGATCAGCATGCAGATCAGGCAGACGCACAAGACGATCACGAACATCATGCCCATGGCTCCGAGGCCGCGTCCGCCAGATTTCTTCGTGGTCACACCGGCCACAGTGGCCACAATCGTGTCGAGAGTAGTGCCGGCAGGCGCCATCTTCTGCGAGATTTTTTTATATGCAAAGAATTTTTGGGAATTTTCAATACACGCACTAGATAGAAATTTTGGTTGTGACTCGGTTTGATTTATTCGACAAATATCTCATGGAGGACCCCGAGGGGGGGGGCCATTAGTGAGGGAATCCCAAGCTGTGTGGGCCGTGAAGGGTGTCTTAATTCCCATTTTGAGGTGCATTCCTCCTTGAATGAAGCTCAAAGTCAAGAGTGCACTCGCAACTCGTTCAGCGTGGGGGGCGGGGGGTGAATCCCTCAACAAAAGTGCTCATTAAACACACACACAATCCCCATTCGAATTGTATAAAAATTAATGAAATGCATTAACGAAAGCGTTGCTCGTGAAGTGGGACGACGGTCGACCCTCGACCCTCGACCTGGGCTCTGGGCTCTGGGTCGCCGCAGACTGTACCTGCGCTCGTTAGTGCTCCCCCCAGTGCCACCCACCCACTCGTTCGCCTTTGCTCGTCATTATCATAATTTGAATGCGTTGCGAGTTTTTTAAAATATTCATGCGAGTAGAGAGATTCACTTTTTTTTTTTCAAGTGTGCGCACGTGTGGGTGCATTATTCGGGGGTGTTTACTGTACACCCCAAGCAGAGTGGGTGCCGGTTTCAAGTATAATGACTGTATTTTGTGCCCTGATTACTCCAAAGAGCGAGAGAGGGAGAGAGAGAGAGAGAGACTCGGGGGAGAGGCAAACAATCAGCTGCTAAATGTTAGCCGTATAACAGCGCCCCTTCTAGAGGGCATTTTTCATCTGTTTATTAATCCCAGGGATTGCCGTTCGTACCTGTTCGTTCTCCACAAGGATCACAGGGATCTCTGGCCAATCACAAATCACAAATCACTGATTGGCGATTGTCAACTATCAGGCACGTTTGCCAGTCAATTCACAACACTCAATGCTCATTCAATTCACTCCGCACTCACACTCGCACACACACACACTTGCACACTCATTCGAATACACTTTTGCTCATGCACTTTGCGGCATCATCGCACACGTGGCTGCATGTCAAAGTGCAAAGTTTTGTTCCACCAAAAAGGACTCCCCTCTGCAGCGGGGCGGGGCGGGGGGCGGGGAGAGTGCCAGGGTGAAAGGCTGAGTGGGAGTGGCAGTCAAAAGGAGAAGAGAAAAAATAACTGCACATTTGGCTGGGGCGGATGCACATTAGGTTATGGCGCGATGATGCCGGTTGCAAACATTGGGGGTTAGCGGAGCAAGCGATGAGCACGGTGGCCAGGACAGCGACAGGATGGCCCCCGAGTGGGATGCCCAGATACAAATCCAAGCAAATGACTTTTCCCCCTGTCATCTGCATCATCTTTATGGGTATCTGGAAGATACTGCGTTCAATGAGCGTAAAATGTTGTCAAATTTGTAAACCAAACAAATAAAAAACACTGCCACAAGAAAGCGAAAAAAAAGAAGAGATATATGGCAGGTCCTGAAGGAATTTATGTGTCTGCCTTTGGCCACATGTGTGTGTGGGGGGGGGGGGGGGGGGGGGAGAGGTATAGGAAGCAATTCTACGGCTCAAGAACTCCTTAAAGAAGAAAGAGACCGAGGGACAATCTCGAAAAAGTTGCGGCTCAGAAAACTTATCTTTCCCTCTTTTTTCCCTCCTTTCAAGCCAAGCAATCTTTGGCTCTAGTTTATGTCTATCCCCCGCATCCACAGGGGGCAATGATCATGTGTTCCATCATCACATTCATTGGCACTCAACGGACAGAAGGAGGCGGAAGGGGGGGGGCGGGAATGGCAATCGTAAACCTGATTGTAATAGTATAATTTTCTGGCGTAAAAGCCAAACAAATAAAGCGCACACGAAATGGAGGCCTAAGGTCCGGCCTGGGAGCCCTGGGATTATCCCGGCCTAAAAGAGTCCTCCTTCCTGATGGCTGGGTGGGTGCTTCGTCCTCCTCCCTCCTTCGTCCTCCTTCCTCCTTCGTTCAATTTCATGCAATTTTTACGAGTTCTATGCGGAGCACACACACACACACGCGAAAATCTCTTACTCATAATCCGCCCCAATGGAACGCCCCACCTCATCCCCCACCCCCCGTACGCTCCATCGTCACGCATCGTCCTGCGCGGAAAGTTATTGTTATCCTTTTGTTTTAGTGCGCACATCCTTTACTCCTGGTGCCTCCGCATTGATTCATAAAACATAAATATAAATACATAGTGCGTATACGCAGCGTTCGCCCATAAATTCTGATAAACGTGAGCGAGAATGAGAGCAAACCCCAGCGCCAAAAGTCATCAATCTTTTAGCATTTCACTTAGATACAGCACTCCTCCCCCTCCCCGCCCCCCACAAATGGCTGCCGCCCCTCGTTTGTTGTTTATTCATTCGGCGTCGATATTTGTGCATAAATATTAATATTGCATGACCATTTTTATTTGTTTGTTTTTCCCCCTCAAGGAACACATCGTCCGCCCCTCCTCCCCTTGCCCAGCGAAAGTCCCTCATCTCTTAAGATTATTTACTCGAAAATACAACGAATGTTAGCCTCCAGCCTCCTTCCGGATCCTTCCAGAGCAGGAGCTGGACCAGGATCTAGTGCCAGTCATCGGGATCGGCGCAACACCACCAGCCCCAGCCACACACAATGAACAGGAGCAGGCACAGGCAGAAGATAATCACGAACAGGGCGATTCCGAGCGCCACCCAGATGGCCAGCAGGGAGCTCTCCCGGCGGTAGTACTCCGTCGAGGAGTACACCCAGCCCACGGTGGTGCGGATGGTGGTCTCGTCGTGCAGCAGGTCTACGGCAGGCATCGTCGAGTGCAATTTTAGCTTCAAATGTGTTCAACCAGATGCTTGATATTTTTTTTGGAATTTTAAGACTAAATCCTACAGATTGATGTGTTTTTCGATGGTAAATCTGAACCATATTTCGTTTTCGATGTCCTTTTTTGGTTGGGGAACCTCATTTAAGGGGTGGAGGGGGCCCCCACCCCACCGCCTGATAATTGAATAAATATTACACTGAGCGATAAAAAGTGAAAACTTTTGAATGTTTTTTTTTTCCACGAGACTATAATTGGGTCGAGCGTATCTGAAGGATTTCAAAGAGAAATGTATGACCTTCTCTATAGGGTCTATAGAGTGGCTATGCCTGAAGTTGGGGCCACCCAAAGTTGGAAATTTCACACCATTTTAAAGGTTCCTTCCTTCCTGGTTTTCGGAGGCTTTTTAGGTCTCTTTTGCATGGTATGGTCTTATTTTCGTAGATTAGTTCTTTAGTGGCTATAATTCTCCTTAAAACTAGCTACTAATCCTTAAGATGTTCCAACGAATGCCAAGGGTAGGAGGTATTTAGTAAATCCCCAGCATTTTATAGCACATTAGGCAATAAATGGCCTCTGACAGGCTTTTATGAGCCCTCCATAAGAGCCCGTCGAAACTTTAAATTCGATTAAAATGGCCATCAATTGGAATGTTTCAATATTTAAATATTTGCAATTAAATTTAAATGTTTGGCCATGTGCTGTCTGCGAAAATATCTTTATATTCGGCTTTTTTCGAGAGTGCCAATAAATTGCCCGACACAAAGTGTCAACGGAGGACGAAGGACCCGCTTATTTGCATACGTATCCCTGCCCTTCTCGATGCGGCTGGGAGGACCCTGCATGCCATTCCATGCCATTCCATTCCGCTACTTACAACCATATTATAATGGAATCCACACTTGCATATGTTGTCGCGGACGTTCCACCAGCTATAAATATTATTGAATTGTTCTGCCACGCCCCTTGGGCCTCTCAGTGTTGCAACAATGATTGCGGCAAGCGGATGTAAAAACCTTGGCAATGACAGTTTTTGGGGGGCTGGAACAGGGCCTCGGGTCTATGTCTATGTCGTCTACATCTCCGTCTGTTATGCAAATGTCTATAAAATATATATATGTGTATCTCCGATGTGTGTGTGTGTGTGTGTGTGTGTGTCTGTGTGAACAACTGTTTATATGCAAATCTTTTATTTCGCTGTTGCCTCCGTTTTCATTTCTTATTTCCGCTGCAGGCCCGACACCGCCATTGGCTTTCTTTTTACGAGTATGTATGTATATATATATATATATGTATATATTCTGCATTAAATTAACATCAATAAAATGTTTGCCCCGTTTCGGACTGGACACCCCCCCCTGTCTCTGTGTCCGGGGTGTCCTTCTCGTCCTCCTAGAGTGCTTTTCAGTGTCCTTTCTGTTTCCCTTTGTTGCACTTGTGCGTAATTTCAAGCTAATGCCAACATGTGCTGCGATTTGTCCCAAATCCACCCCCCATCCCCCCCACAAATGGAGACCTCTTTTCCTGCCTCGGCTACTCCTTTGGCAAACTGTTTCTTCCCCTCCTCCTCTGGCTGTTCCTGTCTGCATCTTCGACAGTTTTACAGTCAGTTTCATTCATTTCCTTGCGCCAAAAGACATTTGCATTTGACAGTTTTGGCACCTTCCTGGGATCCCGCCGAACAGGAAGAAACCTTCCAGCTGAAGAGGGAAGAAAGTGAGAGAGAGAGAGAGTGCAAGAGGTGAAAGGTGAAAGGTGAAAGGGAAAATGATAAATGGATATGCACGAATCTATGACTCAAGATGTCGCCGTTTTCCCACCTTCATGGCTTCATCCTACGGCTCCATTAGATGTTTCCAAAGTGGAATTAAATCAAGACTTGCTTACTAGTTGATAATCCC